TGTTTTTGAAACGGACAAAAATCCGTTTCAAAAATCTAAAACCATCAACCTACTGTAAGGAAAGTACCGGCTTTTATTTATTTATCTATTTATTCATTTATTTTAAAGCTCTTGGACTGTTTTAAGAAGCAGTTGAGACCCAAATGAAAATACAAAAACATGGAAAATGGGACTTTTTTTTTGTTTTTTTTGCCAGAATTCCCTTAATTGTCATAATTTTATGCGCACTGTGCTCAGCATATAAACTTAAGTGAATATGTTTCATTTCTGCCAGTAAAAATTACTCAACAAATGAATCTGAGTAATTTTCACTGCAAATTAATGACTCAGCTTTTCTAAAGTGACAGCTGCTAGTCGTTTCTTTTCATGTCATGGTTGCTGGGTGCCTCAGATGGGCAAAGCAAGGACAGTGACAGATTGAAGACAAATATCTCACTCCATGATGGCAAGGAAAACAATTCAAATCAGCGTCTGGTAATCAGAGGCAGACATTTGAAGGGAAAATAAACTTTTATTGCAGTTGTAAATTAAAGCAAAGCTGCAATTGCAGCTTATCCAAAGGACAGATACACACGAAGAAACACAAAATCCCCCAAATTCACTATTTTCACACTTCTAACATGTCCAGGATCAACTAATTTAGGAGCATGAGTACAGAAACTAGCGAACCTTTGCTTCCAGCATTAATGCTATCAGATGAAAAACTCATCTGATAATTGAGAGCAGACTGTTGTTCCTCTCTTATATTAGACAAATGGAAACCATGAGATTTAGAAGAGACACAGTGAAGATGATCTGTGCTTAACAAGCTAAAATCAACCTTTGATATATTTAATTATATGTTCTGTCCTTCTCTCCACCTTTTCCTCCAGGTCGGCACACCTCCTGTCCAGATACCGGCCTCGCTGTCCGATCATCGCCGTCACCAGAAGCCCTCAGGTAAACTCTGATAAGCTCAGAGATAAACAGTTGTCTATTTGTCGCGGTTTAAATTACAGCTTAATTGTTGTTGAGTCATCCATCTTTTGAAAAAAAGGAAGAAAAAAAAAGCTGAACAATGTGCCGTGCAGTTATTATTTACTCTCACTGTGTGATGTTGTTAATATTGACAGTGTGGACACATCAGAGTGAACATAAAAGAAGCTATCTGCAGACAAAACCTGGAATCCTATTAAAAACATTTAATCTTCTTTAATTACGAGCTCAAAGATGATAAACAGAAAATGAAACTGACAACAAAAACAAGAATACGCTGAGGAGTTAAAATCACGGAGATGAAGCTCTTCACATGAGCAAAAATATATAATTTATGATTGTATTCACCAAACTCTGGCTTCTTTCTCTAGTTTCATTGATTTGCTTTGTTGTGTTGTGTTTAAGCTGACACCTTCAAGTGCTAAATGATTTCAAAGTAATGCTGATCTTAATGCTGAGTTTTTAACAGGATACACTTTTCTGAGATTTATTTAATTTCAATTTAAAGTCAAAGGCCAATGCAGAGAAATTCTTATTGGAAGAAAAACCATGCATAGTTTTGAAAACATTTATTTAAAAGTAAAATACAAAATGTGGGGGAGAATTTAACACCACATAGACTTAAATAGTCATTTGACATGGTAGTGGTGGTGTCATGCTGTGGGGATGATTTTCTTTAGAAATGGAGATAAATACAGAAAAATTAGATAGAAAACTCTCCAGAGGACGAGTGTCAAACTTGAGGCCTGCTGTGCCAGATATTTTTAATATCTGGCACAGCATGAATATTAAAAATAGAACTTTAAGTTGTTTACTTAAACATTATTTTATCAGTCAAATAAAATCAGTTTTTATGTGTATGGTGCCATTTTACTTCCGCATTAAAGACTGTTACATTTTTAGAATTACTCGTCAAATGCAGACAGTTATAATTTTTTAACAATTTATTATTAGGTAATTTTATCAACTCCTCGAGGCTGCAAAAGTCTAGAAGGTTTCAACTTTAAACAGAACAACTCAACCAAAGGTGCCATGTAATAAAGGGGAATGCCACATTTTTCAAGGTTTTATTTCCAAATAATAATTGCACTGTTGAAAAAAAAATGGTAACAATTTATGTGAAGGGGTGAATATAAGACTGACATCATAAACATGACACAAGAGTCATGAACATGAAGGAGTCTTCATAGATGTTTACGACTGTTGTAACTATATTTCAGCAAATAATGACACTTTCTTTAGTGCACCAAAAGTTAATTGTCAACTTTGCATTATTCAGTGAATAATGAGACATTTAGTGTAAAATCACAATAAAATGTACATGAAAAGTCAATTGAAAATGTCAACTTTGCACTAAAAGTGTTTATGTCTGTCTCATGTCAGTCTTATGCACACCGTCAAATAAAGTGTTACCAAAAAAAACGATTGATCCCTTTTCAGTTTAAAATTATGGGTCGCTTTATGTTGGTCTGTCTCCTCCTCCTCCTGCTACACTGTTATTAAAAAATAACAGTGTAATAAAAAAGCTTTTTGTTTGGGAAGGACTGTAGGAGTGTGAACAAATCCAAACACTGGAAGGGCAACGATTTTAAACTAGAACAAAAATGGCTGACTGCATCTCCCTCAGGTGGCGCGTCAGTCCCAGCTGCTGAGAGGCGTATTTCCTGCTCTTTTCCACCCTCTTCCTGCTCCCGTCTGGGCCGATGATGTTGACAACAGGGTCAACTTTGGCATGGAAATAGGTCAGTGTGCATGTCTGACGTTTGCTCCCATCACCTTCCTCTTGAATTTAAATCATTTTCACTCACGTTTCTCTGCAGGGAAAGCAAGAGGATTCTTCAAGTCAGGAGACATGGTGATTGTGGTGACGGGCTGGATCCCAGGATCCGGTCACACCAACATCATGAGGGCAGTGAGCGCCTAGCAGCTGCGCCTCCTTACCAGATCCCAAATCTGACCCCCAGTCTGTGCTGGGAAGGCTTTATGGTGAATGTAATTGGTGAATGTGGTTTTCACTACAGCACTGTCACAGTTTGAGGTATTATGAGGAAACATGCACTGGCGAAGCTGGTCTCACGTATGATGAATGACTCCTTCAAATAAAACTTGAAGCTTGAACTGCGGCTGTCCTCTCATTGTTGTCAGGAAGCAAACTGAAGCTAACTTTAGCTTCTTTATGCATTAAAATCAGATTTTATCTGCATGTCTGTCCAATTAACACGTTGCTACTATTAGTACAGGTTGAAGGTAAGGCTTCTCACATTTCTGAACATATTTGTCTTCAAACATTTTTTTTTTAGCAAATATAAGCTTCTGTGTGTGATATATTTAAAACGTTTTGGGAATTTCCTTTGTATCCACAGAAATGATCTTCCTCTCCACTAATGATCTGGTTTGTGTCATCGTTTCTTTTCTTCTAGAGATATCCTCCTTTTCCTCCTCATTCTCCTCATCTTCTTCTTCCTCCTCCTCTATTAGTGTGTTTGCATATCTAACATTCCACGAATCGTCCTCTGCAGTTTATTTCATCCTCCATCTTCAAACACATGACCTCTCTCCTTCCTCTGTGATCCATATTCTTTCTTGCAAATGTTCTTCAATCCTTAAAGGCTTTTTAGATTTACCTCTTCTAAAAATACAATCTGCAAACGTCTATGCAAAACAAAACTTAAAAGAATAAAGAAATATACAAAAACATACAAGGTTCAAAACACGACCATAACACAAAAAACAAGGAGAGAAACTCAGGAATCAGGAAAATGAGTCTGTACAAAATTAGCATTAAAATAACTCAAAACTAAAGAGTAAAAACAAAACTCAAGCACTTCAAAACGATAAAAAATGAATGCAAAACTACAAATTTATAGTAACTTGGTAAAAGTAAAAGCTTTAATAACTCAAATATGCAAAATATGCAACAAAAAAAAAGAAGTTCTTACTGATAGACCCGTTATTGTAGTCATAACTTGTAAATTGAAAAAATGAGGGAAATATCAAATTATTGCATTCGTCCATCATCTACATCCTGTCATCCTTGCATAGTTATAGGGAAAGTTTGGGGTTATAAGTAAGCAATTCAGCTGCTGCATGTCTCCAGTAATCAGTGAATACAGATCATCGTCCTAAAATAATATATTGTCTGGACATTTTTATAGTTATTGCTAATGTTGTGCATGAATTTTGCAACAATCTAGATTAGGTTAACATATTTCCCTACTGAATGTGAATTAAACATCATCTTTTCTCTTTTTCTGTTCACTGTCAGGGTTTGCAGTTCAGATATCAATGTTCTTTTGACTATCTGGATTAATAAGTCTGAATTTGATCAGATTTAATTTTAATATTCCTCTAAAAGTTCTCAGGTTTTAATTTTATCTTTAAAATGCAATTAAAAAAAAAAACTATTGAACAGTTGAAATCAGATTTTCATGAACCTTTGATTTTTTTCCAAACCTGCTTCAGGTACATCTGTTCTGTCAGGAGGAATGTCAAGATTTCAGCAAACTATAATGAAAAGTTTCTGGAAGGAAACTCAAAATGTCTTTCCAAGGTTGCAAACTTTAGAAGATATGGGACTCGTTTTATGAATTTGTAAAGAAAAAACAAAAAAGAAAGTCAAAAAGCTATCATTATTTTGGCATTTAGCAATAATAAATCATTTTAGGATACGGTTCTGATGTGATTGAATGTCTGACAGACGGTGGATTTGCGGTTCCACCTGTAGGAGCTTTAACCCCCCCTCACCTTCAAGGAGACGCTCCTTTTTCCGTCTCTAAAGTTTCATCATCATCATCTCCGCATCAGCCGCTCCCACGTTGGATTGTCTGGAGTTGATGACGCGCGACTCGTACCTGCGAGACATGCGTGCGTCTTTCGCCAGCCACGCACGCGGCCTTTTGGGAGGGGAGGGTTAGCGGATGATGGGGATGCGGGTGCCATGGTAACAGGACGATTAGATCCGGACCTTTATATGCAGATTTATTTATTTAATTCTCATTTCAGCGCGCCTGGCTGTCGGAGTGAGAGGAGTGAATTCCGCGAGAGACCTTAAAACGCTCAACAAGTGTTTTTGTTTTTTTTTTGTTGTTTTTCTTCTTGTAAGTGATGGTGCTGGACACTCTTGATTCCGCGGAGTTGTGAGGACAAAGCCGCTTCCCTTTTTCTGCGTGCGGGAGACCTGTGTCTGCTCTCGGAGGAGGACGCCGCCCGTTTTCTGGACACAATGTCGTTGAAAGTCGTGTGAAGTGTGGATGGAAACTGAAGCTGCTTCTGAAAGCCTGAAATAACCGAACCAAGTTAACATCCTCTGCTCCCTCTGTCTGTAAGCGCTTCAGTCACGGATGGACTTTCTTTCTCTTTTTTCCCCCCCAGCGTTCCTTCCGTCATCATTTCTCCTTAGACACTGACAATGACTGCGTGTCGTGTTTTCCGAGAAAGCATGGGCTGAGATTTTTAGGGGGTTGATCTGACTTGTGTGCGCCCCCCGGACCGTGTCTCAATTTCCGTGTGCGTGTTTGTGGACGCGGTGTCAGGATGGATCGGCGCGCGTCGGAGTGTGAGCGTCTGTTTTTGGTCGATACTTTATGTGCAATAACAGTTCCTCTGCTGTGACCGAAGGAGCGAGTGTCCTTGTCATTCATCCTCGGATGGATGTTCCGACCCAAACATCCCTTACGTAATGACATGTGTGTTGGAGGTGGAAAAAGGCATTACTGGATGAGTGGGAAATAAGCGACGCAGACGGTCAATGAGCGACCAGGACTCTTATCTACAGCAGACCGGGAAGCCGGTGCCGATATGACCGGCGCTGGAGCGCTGAGGGCGGCTGTGGAGAGGAGAGGGAGGGCCGCGGGCGGAGAGCAACCTTTCAAGGACGAGGAAGGAGGAATGATGGAGAAACATCTGTGAGGACAAACGGGACTCTTGAAGTGGGGGTGAAAATGAGGCTGCTGGCGTGACAGCAGGAAGAGTGAAGAATTCAGTCATCTGCGTGGGGCCATTTCCAAGGGCACCGAGGTAAGGATGGCCACATTACCGGAAAGAGGGCGGGGGTGCGAGGAAGCAGCTCCAGGAGAATGAACACAGACTCAGGTTACTTCCCCCCTATCATCTTTTGTTTCAATAACAGCAACAGAGACATCTTTATCTATGTAGGATAATCTGAACAGGTGATCACAGCCTACAGTTTATAGCACCATTCTTCCTGAGTGGGGATGGATGGAGTGGCAGGAGGTGTGGGCACTCCTGGCAGCGCTGGAGGCACTGGGGGTGATACCCTGCCCAGGCGGACTGATGGAGAAGCAAAGCGGCGCAGTAAAGGCAGCCTGCCCTCCCCGGGCTACCGTCTGTCCCAGGCCTCTCTTGAGGGAGAGAAGGGCTCCTTCAGTGCAGACAGCTCCTCCATGGGTGGACGAGGCCGCCGCCCCTCCATCATGAGCTCCTCCCCCAGGGACAGCCTTTCCTTTCGGGTGGCAGGCACCCCAACCACCCCGGGGACCTTACCAATGGCACTACCACCTCCAGCAGCATCCTCCTCCTCTGGCTCTACCCATCCTCCTCCTGCTCCACGTTCTGTAGGCTTCACAGCATCCCGTGCCACCCTGGCCTCCACCTCCTCCACCGGAACCGGGGTCATGGTGGTGGCCACCGGCGCAGAGACGACCACCACAGCCTGCAACACCACCGTGGTGGGGACCCCGGAGATGGCATGCCAGTCTGGGCTTGGAGGATTTGGTATGGGGCTGGACGGAGAGGACTACAGCAACTCCAACCAGAGCACCTTCATCCAAAGACAGTTTGGTGCCATGCTTCAGCCAGGAGTCAACAAGTTCAGTCTTCGTATGTTCGGGTCCCACAAAGCTGTTGCCATGGAGCAAGAGAGACTAAAATCAGCAGGAGCCTGGATCATCCACCCCTACAGTGACTTCAGGTATGGAGCCACACAGAAAACAGTCAGCAAGCAACTGGTAGCAAATGGCACCTGTAGCACATCAAAGACTCATTCGTTTAGGGAGAATCAGTTCAAACAAGTGGAATTGTGATTCATTTTAAAAAGCACATTTGAAAGACAAGGAAAGACACTCAAGAGGAAACACAGCACAGAAATACTTTGGAGCTTAAAAGAAGGAAAACGATGAGGGAAGAGAGCAGAGCTGAAGGGATAGAGAGAATGTGGAGTATTAAAGAATAATAAAAGCAGTACAATCAGTCAAAAATAGTGATTTTTCAAGCTTTTAGGAGTAAAATGATAAAATGGTTAGTTAAATTCAGAAACACTTTATTGATCTTTGAGGGAAATTAATTGTTTCAACTCAGATTAATTCAACTTCTTCAGAGTTGTTTTGGCTGTCAGCAGTAAAGATCTCTTGTAGCAGTCTGTATCACAGGGAATTTGAAGACGCCTCTGACTAAAGACACTGTTTGCCTAGGGCAGTCTCTTGAAGAGGATGGTCAGGGTTGTCCATATTTGTCCTGAACTTATATGAAATCTTTCATCACGAAGTGAAAATGGCAATATCACACTGTAAATGCTATTTTTTAAAACTATATATATAAAGTGAAAAGCAGAAATTAATTTAAAAATGCAAAAGTTATTTTACAAGTTTATGAAAATAAGCATCCATGATTACCCATCTCCCCCTCCACATGGCATCTTTCTGCATGATGCTTGTGTCTGATTTGTAGCGTAGTGATAAATTAAGGTGATTTTTGAGGAGATTGGGTTTAACTTGACAAAAGAGGAACCAGGGCAAAATGTCCGTCCTCTGAACCCAAGTCAGACAGTCTTCTTAATTTAGCTAGTTTTTGTTTGTTTATTAATTTGTTCCTTTATGCTGGTTTTCTTAAATGTCTATTACTCTGGTCAGCAGCAGCAAAAAACCTGTCTGGGGTTTTTCAACAGTTTCAGGTTAATTTCGATGTGTTGAATCCAATAATCACATTGGTTTTGCTCAATCAGGTCAACTTTTTGAACTATGGAGCAACATGAGCATCAAAATGCTCGACTTGTTCTAACATCTGGATCAGTTTCCTGATAATCTGGGCTCAATGAGGAAGGAGGAGAGAAGGAGGGCATAAAAGAGATAATGATGTAATGTTCAGTTTACATGTACTTACCCTTATCAGTGTTTTTTATTCAATTTACAGAAATTCAAGCTTGTGATATTTAATTAACATACTCTGTTAGAAAAGTTTTTTTTCTTCTAGAATCTTTTTTGGATGAGAAATAAAAACGGAAATGAACCAATAATGTCACAAAATGTAATTTTCCCTAAATCAAATTAGAATAAAAAACTGGCCTGATTGATAAAAATGAATGTCGTTCAACGTTGCAAAAATAGTCCTAATTCTGTTTTAAAAACTTCCAAAACTACATTTTCTTGAAACTCAGTGTTGCTTATGATATTTTCTATTTGTACTTGGGAGTTCCCAGTAATAAGCACTACTGGGAGAGCGCCCCCTTTGGTGAAGATCATGCCTTTGGTTGTGTTTGGGGAGACGCATCATGGGAGAACTGCTGCTCCTGAGATGCTTGTCATGTAGCAACCAGTTGCTACATGACATATTTCTAGTCTAATGCAAGTGAGACTTCCTTTTGAATCTGTATAAACCTAAATCAGGCAATAACTTGTCATGGATATGTTTTTTATTCTATCCTGTGGGCAACAAGGTAGATATTCACTGGAGAAGTTAATCCAGGCTCGTTTAGGAGCATTTCTCACTATAATCTCTAGAACTGTGCAGGTGGACGGTGGAGGGACTGACGGCTTTCTTAATCTCCAGACACCCTGCAGCAACAATGGATGACTCGATCCCCAAGGCTCCTGGCCCACTTTGAGTCATTAGGCACACACAGACTGTGTAATTTTCTGTGTATTGTCTGTCAATGCGATGATCGCCCTAGAGCTGTGAGGGATGGGCGTTGTCGCAGGTGAAATGATTTACGGGGCTCATGAGGAAGCGAGCAGAAGAATGACAGAGGCGTGTGGAGATGCTGATAGTGTTGTCACAAGAGGAGAATTTAGGATTTCTGACTTATACTTGCTGTGAATTATGCAGACGGGGCATGCATTATGCATAATTCATTCATATAACTTTGCAAGTACATGTACTCTGGAGTGACACCTGAAGAATTATGCATGACCAAGTGGCAGAAAAGAGGAAGTAAATTACAGCTAAAACAACCTCATTTGAATCATCCTTGTGTGAAAGTGTCTGTCAGGATATGTGTAGGAATGTGTGTGCATGTAGGGGTATCATTACCAAGTCTGCTGACAAGCTCCCCTCTTCCCACATAAAGAGACAAGCTACTCCTCCTTCACTTATAAGAATATATCAAGTGAATGAGAACTAATCTACGTTTGTGCATAGCTTTTATACAGATGATGGATGACGGGAGACAATCGCAGGTTCCTCAGGACAAAATGGCCTCAATTACAATAAGAATTAGTGTTCAGTTTGACAACAGCTGAGCAGGTAGATGCAGGTCAGCGGTCATCCAGCACCTGATTGTATTCAGAGAGGGAAAGCTGATGAGGCAGCAGACACCATCTTTGATTGCATTTGCAATTCCTATTTGTGTGGAGTTCAATCGAACACGACGAGTACAGACACATCCGGGCATGCCTGCTTGAATCAAGGACACACTCCATAAAACGAGGTCAGTGGAGATCATAAATATCATCTATAAGGTTTTTAGTTTTAGTACAAGAGAGAATAGATCAATGGTATCAAAGGGAACTCAACAGATACCCCCAAAACTTTTAAAAACATTTCTTTCACAATAATTACAGTGAAAGATTGGTGGGTAATAATTTGCCTATCATGTTTATATTTCAATTAAGTTGGAAAATGTTTTTTTTTTACAGGATGAAACAGTTGAAGCAAACCAGAAGAAATCCCTCAAGTTACTAAATATATATGCACACAGGATCTTTAATTGATTATCTGGGGATAGTATGATCAAACCTTTATTTAAATGCAACAATTCTTCAGAAGTTGTTTTAAAAAAAGACATGAATCCAATTAATAAAAGCGGGACAGGCAGCTCACGAGCAACAATACAACACAAGAACACAGGGATTTTACAGTAAGCAAAGTAAACATCCTTCTTAAAGAGTATGACTGAACAGATATTTGTAATTAAAACTTGGGTTGTTGAATTTGTTGAAAAGAACAGTGTTAGATTTGTAGCTGTTAAACACTGCAAGATGCTTGATTCATAGGTATTAAAAATATTTAAAATTAAGTTGTTCTTTATATGTGATCTCATAAATAACGTCTCTGGATTCTCTATTGGAAAAACAACAATGAAAGGAGACACGAGTCAAGCATGTAAATTTTATTTATTCAGTTTGTTGTCCATCCGTACATCCATCAATCATTCACCCAGTCATTTTTTTCACATTTCTTAACACAAACCACAAGACATAATGGAGCATGATTGCACTGTTTTTGATCACAAAAGTAGTGCAGCTGAATCTCTTTAATATTTGCTGCAAAGCTGCAACAGTAAATGTCCACAGGTGTTTTTCATCTAATCTATTGTTTGGCGTAAAATGTAAAAAGGACCTATTTTGACCAAGCTATATTCCTGGAAGCATGCAGGATGTTATTCGTCTATAAATAGCACCAACATGAACAACCAGTACGTGATTCACAGATTTATTGAGCTCTAATCAAAGTTAACGAGGTGTGAGCTCGAGGTCAGGAATGCCGCTCCATCTTTGCTGCAGGACGCCTCGTTTGCGTTGCTGTGAATAATCCCCGTGTTTATCGCCAGTGATTACGAAGCAATACATCTGTCAGTATAAACGACAAACTGAGTGAGGAGTGTGAATGGAAGCAGAAAAATGACTCACGCAAACTTAATCTTCATCAGTACTGGTGGTAGCCTCGCGCCATGGGGTTATTATTTGACTGAATTAAGGCTCAATATCAATCGAGCTCCAGTGAATTTTCTCAGTGAGAAACGAGTCGGTGTTTGAGAAGAAGAAAGTCAAAGTGATGGATGAAGGGATTAGAAGAAAGGGAGACGAGGAAATGACAAGGACTGTCTCCAGATGATTGGATCGACTCTTCTTTCATACTTTAATCACTTTTGACATCCAAATGACGTGATTTATTTGCTGAATTTATATCAGAGAGCTCAAATACGTCACTGAGAAATGTTCTCAAGCTTGAAATGCAGACTGATGAGACCTCCCAAAGTTATTTTTTTTTCATTTCATTCCTCTCTCTTTCTCCCCTTTTTCCAATTCAGTTAAGGATCTCTTTTGGTCGTAAAGATAAAAAGATCGATTTATAATGTGCGTGCAGGGACTCCTCCTTATTCATCACTATTAAACTCTACATTTATTGACTCCCCTTTTATTACAGGAGCATAAGCTCTGTCTATTTTATAAAATTAAAGCTTTATTTAGAACAAATTTATTCAGCAGGAAAAGATGACCCCCTTAGGAAACAGTTGTTTCAAAAAATCCATCTGTGACTTTTGATTAGTTATCCAAGACTAATCAAAAGTGCTAACATAGATATTTTGAGAGTTTTCAATGACCTTTTTAACCTCTAACTTGTCACCATTCTAGAAATCATGACTAGACTGTGCTGTCTTGGTTCAGATCCTGTCTCACTAAAAGGAGTTTTGCCAGGTAGAAGAATATTTTATCTGCTTTTTATGTCACGTTAGTTCTTTTGTATTCTTGTCTCTGTTTTCTTTATGCCGCCTCCTTTTAAGGAATCACCATATTTGACTGCACTTCTAGATTTGGTGCAAATGGCAATGCTGAAAGGAGTGATGGTGCTCATGTTCACCACGTCTGTTTTTCTGTTTGTGCTGTTTACATGTTGGACAAAGAACTGGTGCAAGCCCACAGACCAAAGTCCTGTAGAAAAACTGAAGCCTGAGCTGAAGAAAGAAAAATTCTACTGCAAGACTCTGGATGATCCAGACAAAAGTGATCAAAGATATCTCTCTCTTTGAATGCCCCATTTGAATATTACCAATGACTTTAAGTGTATTAAATCTCTGAACTTAAAATGAAGAGTCCACTGTACTGAACCCTATTGAAACCTCCTGGTTATTCCACCAAATATTGATTTCTGAACTCTTCCTGAGTTAAAACATCAGTGTTGTTGTTTCTAAATTAATATCAACTTGTTTTCTTTGCATTATTTGCGGTCTGAAAGCATTGCATCTTTTTCTGTTATTTTGAGCACTTCTCATTTTAAGCAAATATTAAATTATTGCTTGTAATTTCAAAGACATGTTGCCAGCAGTTCATAGAATGAAAGAACAATGTTCATTTCACTCTAGCTTGCATTTATAGAGTAAAATAAAAAAAACTAATCAATTTAAGTGATCTCCTAACTTTTTCCAGAGCTGTATATGTAAGTGAAATAAAAAGTGAAGCATTTTATTAGTAAAGAGGAATTTTGATGCATTGCTTATGTAATTTATTATATCAGGGCATTTTAATATTGTATTTTACAGCTGTGATCATATTGTAGATAAAGGTGTTAGAATATCTTAAGATTGTGTGTTGTGTAATTTTCTATTACTGGACAATATTAGTCTATTACATCAGTCCTTTTGACATGTGGTTGTAGGAAAAGCAGAGATGTTACTAAAAATATCTGTCCCTGTTAGTTGCAAAAGAGCAAATCTATACAAATGTAGTTTTGTTTAATAATGTAATGACCGAAATACTCAGTGTGGACACCATTCGGACAAAATCTTTCTGCTGGTTGACTGTCTGCTGTCAGAGCACATTATCCTTACAAAAAGCAGCAGTGGAAACAGAGTGACTTGACACAGCTGGAAAATATGCTGTGCATGTTAAACAGATCTAATGGAGCAGAAATATTGTGTTTGGATTTTGCACACAGGGATTTGTGTGACAGGGTGTAATGTCTCTCCCAATTTTATCAACACATCTATTTTATATATATATATATATATATATATATATATATATATATATATATATATATATATATATATATATATATATATATATATATATATATACATATATAACCAGCAGAAAGATTTTGTCCGAATGGTGTCCACACTGAGTATTTCAGTCATTACATTATTATAAGAATACAAAACTACATTTGTATAGATTTGCTCTTTTGCAACTAACAGGGAAACAGATATTTTTAGTAACATCTCTGCTTTTCCTACAGCCACATGTCAAAAGGACTGATGTAATAGACTAATATTGTCCAGTAATAGAAAATTACACAACACACAATCTTAAGATATTCTAACACCTTTATCTACAATATGATCACAGCTGTAAAATACAATATTAAAAGGTATATATATATATATATATATATTCTAAAAAAATATTATAACTATTCTAGAAACTAGAAAATTTGTATTCTAGTTTCTAGAATATAAAAATGTCTAGTCTGGACTGTAATTGTAAGAAATTGGAAGGTTTAATCGAGACCTTCCTTCTATATGTTTTACTTTTACAAGAAAAATATAATTTCAGGCTCTCTATAATCTTTCAAATACAAAAATAATTAAAAAAATTTTTTAATTTATCCTGCAGTCTGATGACATTTAAACTGAAGCTAAATCTAACGTCCATCAGGAGAAATCTGGGCTGAATGGCCATTCAGAAAGGAAGAACCCATTAACCAGACTGAACTTTAGCCTGATTTAATATCAGACAATGAGGAAAAGAAGGTTCTCTGTCTTTTTATCTGGTTTCTGCTGTTGTTATGACCAGATTTAGCAACTCTTACAATTTCAAACCTTCATCTAGAACAAGATCATTCCCAGATCAGCAAGTGTCAAATATTACAAAAATTCCCATGTATAGATACACCAGGGACGACTGAAGACGTTTTCACCATCATGCCAAATATTGGTTGATAACAATCTGTGATCATACCTCCTTCAGAAAAAGGAGGTATGAAGACAAGGTATTCTCGTCTTCTTCATCTTTACGTCTGTGTTGATGATACATCTTTGAACTTTAGGAAAAATGGAGGTTTGTGGTTTTCTGCTTCCAGATTTTACTGGGACCTGCTGATGTTACTGCTGATGATGGGGAACCTGATCATCCTGCCGGTGGGCATCACGTTCTTTCGGGACGAGAACACACCTTCATGGATAATCTTCAACGTGGTTTCTGACACTCTGTTCATGGTTGACCTGGTTCTGAACTTCAGGACCGGCATCATGAAGGAAGACAGCACCGAGATCCTCCTTGACCCAAGGTCAGTTTGAGCATATTTTTCTTTATTTTTTCATAAAGTACAATATCAGTAGATCCAACCTGTTTCCTTGGCTACCAGAATGAGGTAACAGTTCAGACACATTTGTATGCATGAGGAGAAAGGCGTTTCAGTCGGGCTTTGTTCAAGTTCCAGTGTACTCCTGATGAATACTGAGTCCAGCAAACACCGGACTCACTTCCACAAACCCGCCCAGCCATATGAGGCCTGCCTCTTCTCCTCCATCTTTCTCCACCTCAGGGCAATCCGCCAGAAGTACCTGAAGACCTGGTTCCTCGTGGACTTTGTGTCGTCCATCCCTGTGGATTACATCTTCCTGATGGTGGACAGTCTGGACTCGGAGGTCTACAGGACGGCCCGGGCGTTGCGGATAGTCCGCTTCACCAAAATCCTCAGCCTGCTTCGTCTGCTGCGCCTGTCCAGGCTCATCCGCTACATCCACCAATGGGAGGAGGTGAGTGGCGGACGCCATGGACGAAGAGGACGCTTTCTTTGACAATTACGACGTGTTGTTTTTTGTAAACTCAGGTTAAATCCTGGAAATAATTTCATTTAAAACAAAGGTGCAAAATAAAATCCAAGTTGTTAATTCATCCTATTCTGAACTTTTCCCTCAGATCTTCCACATGACCTATGACCTTGCTAGTGCCATGGTGAGGATTGTAAACCTCATCGGTATGATGCTGCTTTTGTGCCACTGGGATGGCTGTCTCCAGTTTCTGGTCCCCATGCTGCAGGATTTCCCTTCTGACTGCTGGGTTTCCAAGAACCTGATGGTGGTGAGTCTCCAGCCAAGTCCCATATTTTTTTAGATTTAACTCATTAATTTTATAATAAACAACATAAAATTTCCAAGTTGAACTTAATGAAACACTGAAGTGTCTGAATTTAAAAGATACGTAAACATTTCTAAGGTCAGACATGTTTGGATTTACTAAGCTTTGGTTTTGTCCTACCATTTTTAAACTGGATTTGAAAGTTTTGATTTATGGAATTTTTTCTTTCTCTGATGTTTCACATATTTCAAAAAATGAAGATTTATTTGAATTCAAGTTCCAGTAAAAGTTTTTTTTTTTTTTTTTTTTATGCCGTACAGAGTTTTAGGTCTGGAACAAATGGTAAACTTCTTTTGCCATCTTGCCTTATTTCGCCTCTTTCCAGTTTGTGGCTGAATTCCAAACTACAAACATGAGACATTATGTTTTTGTTTTTTTGAATAATGTTTTATTTCTTGCCACTCTTCCCTATAATCCAGATTTGTGGAATGCACATCTAATAATTATCCAGTCAACGGATTATCCTATCAGGGTTGTGGATCTGTGGAGCTTCTCCAGAGCTGCTATGAGCCTCTTGGCTGCTGCTCTGATTATCATCACTTTGCCAAGCCTGTCAGCCGTGTCCTGAACTGAGGTCTGTGAGATGTTAAAAGACACGAGGACACTGTTTAATTACCTCAACCTGGCATAAACATTGTTACATTTTTCTCTCTGACTTGTGTTGTTCTTCATGACGCTGTTGGTTCACTAATGTTCTCTAACAAAACTCTTTGCTAAATATATACTAAGTTTAAGTATTTATTGTAACTCTCTGAAGAGACAGATTTATTTAGAGGTATCAGATGTTGCACTTTCAGGTTTTTATTTGTAAAAATGTGGAGAGCCATTTAATTTCCACTTCACTTTTTCGCTCTACTTTGTGGTGCTCCAGCACATATAATCCCAATAAAAGAAATTACATTTTTCCAGCTATAATGTGGCAAGATATCTAAAAGTGCATTTCCATTTGCACTTTGTCTGAGCATGTTTGCGCTCAATATTTGTTTCAGATGAAGGCAGAGGAGCTGATGTGTACAGAGTGAGGCTGTTCATCAGATATGACACAGTTTCCTCTTTATCTTCGTTAATTGGCACATGCAGCAGCACATCCTGCTGAAACAAGATTGACTATAATCATCAGGTAGAGAAAAAAAAAGAAAGAAAAACAAAGAACTGTTTAATTAAAAATCTCAGCAGGCATCAGGTAGATGTGTCGGTGCATGCAAACAATGGAAACCCACAGGCTTGCTGCAGTCGAGTTGTAATTGTATGAACAGCTGACTCACGTCTCAGCGGTTGCCATGAGTAAAGGTTGCCAAGCAGGCTGATGTTCGGATTCTCCCCAGAGAAAGTTCCCACATCCTCTGAACCATTAATGTCACTTCATAATTGGACTCAAACAGGAGGTGCACACACACACACACACACACACACACATGTAGAAACAATGCTTTCCTCCTTTCCTTTCTTTTGTTCATTTCCAATCTTTGGTAATCTGATTGGTACTTTGTTTGCCTTTTGATGTTATGATCTCATCCCGGCTTTCTGAGGTGAAAAGAGGCAAGATTCATCTGTATTTTGACAAAATTGAGAATGCTTCCTGGCACCAATTCCTTAAAACACAGGTGTCAAACTCCAGGCTCGTGGGCCAAATCCGCCCCCGCCATAGCTTTAAATGTGGCCCTCTAGATTCTAGACTAAATTACACTAAATTAGTCTAGAATCTAGACTAATTCTAGATAAATCATGGACTATAATTATAATGGACTAATTATAGTCCGTGATCTATACGAGTAATGAAAAGTTGCATGTACCGTCACAAATTTCACAAATATTTCCAAATTAGCGCTTTGATTTTTATTGCAAAAAAAAATCACAAAAAGAATCACAAAATCCTGGCAGGACTGAAAAGATGTTCAGTAATATTTAATTTTAAGGATTCATTGATATTTTATCAGTTTGTGAACTGGTTTTATCAATACATGTTGGCAAAATCGGCCCTTTAAGATCATTCAGGATCTGGATTTGGCCCAAAACAAAAACGAGTTTGACTCGCCTGCCTTAAAATAATAAACTTATTGCGTTTGTTTCCCGTCCTTTCTCTCAGAACGACACATGGGGTGTGCAGTACTCCTACGCTCTGTTCAAAGCCATGAGCCACATGTTGTGTATCGGGTATGGCGCCCAGGCTCCTGAGGGGATGACTGATGTGTGGCTCACCATGCTCAGTATGATCGTCGGCGCCACCTGCTACGCCATGTTTATCGGCCACGCCACCGCCCTCATACAGTCGCTGGACTCTTCTCGGCGACAGTATCAGGAGAAGGTGAAACATGACTGTCATCCATCTGCTGCTAGTCACCTGATTAAATATTTATGGAATTTATTCGGCACGAGCTGCTCAATCTGCTTCTCTGCAACTGATCCTGAATTACATTTTTGGGCCGGCATGTGCGGCATAATTTGCTTAACCCTAATTATGACAAAGGAAATGTTGTATTTTGCTCATTTTTGTTTCAGGATGCAATTGAAATATTTAAATTTGAAAGGTTTACTTTTTCAGAAATTAAATGATTTAAGCCTTATTTTAGTGGCTGCTGAGCTGTTTCCTGTCTGTAAGAAAACCGTTCACTGACAAAAGATTGAGTGTAAAATCTTAAAACTCATGTTTCAGCACTTCTCTTTAATCTTTAATGATCTTGTAAAGTGCTGGATGTTTCTGGAGTTCATTAAGCCTCTGGGAATATTTGAAGCCCATAATTTATGGGAATGTATAGTTTTGATATTTGTTATTCTAAAATTTGTGAATGGAAACTAAGAAAATTCAGAATGTACTTACATCTATTTTCAACAATTGGTTATGCATTATTTGGCAACATATACGGCTAAAGTCAGACTTACACTGATGAGCGTCTCATAACAGAGAGGTAACAGTAGTGGCTTTCATTTTCTTGACTGAAATGCAAGTGAAGGTTTATTATTGCATTGTAAATTCAGATATGCTTTTTAAACTGGCAAATCTTATGTTGCTTTAGAGAAAAAGCCAAAACATTTGACTTTTTCTACGCTTGCTTTTTGCATCTTTTCATCTCATGTGCAGCAGCAGTAATGTTTAAAATTGTTGCTATTGGCTTACGAGTTAATTCCTCCACTTAGTGAAAGTTCTAGCAAAAAGGCTAGGCATGTCATAATAATTAATAAATTAATTAATCGCATGATAAATTAAAACAAACTCAATCATTTCCATTGGGATGATTTATTGTTTAGCTCTTTTTTCTCTCGTTCTACCTAAAACTAAAAATTGATCAAGTCTTCAGTTTGGTGTTTTGGTCTCAACTTTCTTTCCAGCCTTTAATGTACAAAATTTAAGTACTGCATATAGCATTCCAGCAACAAAGTTTGCTGACATAATTTCTCTAATACTGAACGCACCTAAAAGTAATTTTTAACAGGCCAAAATACAAGATAGGAAATATTATCCAGTAGTCTAACTCCTCTCAACTATTTTTTTCTCCATCTTTATAACAATCATTTTTGTATTTATTCAATTCAATGCAGTTACAGTTTGTTTGTACTTTGCTAATAGAAACCAGTGCAAAAATGTTTCAAATGTGATTTGGTTTGTTATTTCCAAATTTAGTCAGTTTTATCTCAATTTGGTTGAACAACAGGAAGTAAGTTCAGTACATTTGTCCTTTCCTAAAAAACCTCCTGCTTTGATTTGAGAGTCCCAGTTTGGCCTCATCGGGTTACAGAAACAAAGACTTACTGTGTATTTATTCATTTTAGCCTCCACTTATTAGACCCTCCAGATTCATCTACAACATTATAGTTTCTCCTCTAAACTTCAGCTAAGCCAGTAAACTCACAATCTCAAGCTGTGGTGGTTTGTCACGAAATTAAAGAGATAAAGTGATTTTATGATTAGTTGTTTAGTTTTCTGGAGCTTAATAAAGCAGCTGATTTCACTCTACAGCAGTTGCTTCCTGTGAAAGAAAAACAAAGTGAAAATTACCTCTCAAAGTGAATGTTTTTCTTTTGTAACTGCAGTACAAGCAGGTGGAGCAGTACATGTCCTTCCACAAGCTTCCCGCCGATCTGCGGCAAAAGATCCACGAGTATTATGAGCATCGCTTCCAGGGCAAAATGTTTGATGAGGAGAACATTCTGGGAGAGCTCAGTGAGCCACTGAAAGAGGTGATGAATTCATGAACGCCCACTTTGTTTTTTTCCTGCCTCCAGCGCATCGTGTTGACATTCAATCTCTTCTTATTTTCATTTAGGAGATTGTCAGCTTTAACTGCAGGAGCCTGGTGGCAAACATGCCGCTGTTTGCCAACGCTGATCCCAACTTTGTGACCGCAGTGTTGACCAAGCTCCGATTTGAGGTGTTTCAGCCAGCTGACTTCATCATTCGTGAAGGAACCGTTGGTCGTAAGATGTACTTCATCCAGCATGGACGGGTCAGCGTACTGACCAGAGGCAACAAGGAAACCAAACTGAGTGATGGGTCCTACTTTGGGGGTGAGGACTTAGTTTTTGTGCAAAAAAATAAAATAAAATGCTTGTTTGAGCTGTTTTATGAATTCACCTTTCTTCTTCAGAGATCTGCTTGCTTACTCGTGGACGAAGAACAGCCAGCGTGCGCGCAGACACATACTGCCGCTTGTACTCTCTCAGTGTGGACAGCTTTAACGAGGTTCTGGAGGAACATCCAATGATGCGGCGAGCCTTTGAAACGGTCGCTGTTGACCGTTTGGACCGCATTGGTAATTTCTGGATTTTTCTAACTCCTTATTCCGCATCTGGTTGCTATTTCGCAATTAGTCATAACTCTTCTAAATAATGCAAATATCAATCTGTGTTCCTGAATTTACCAAGCTCTTTCATGATTGACATCAAATGGTTTAAAAAGAAGGATCACTAAAGACAAAAGCAAATTAACTTGTTCACCTTGGATCTCTCTATTAGCGTAGTCTATACCCTGGTGAATTTCAATAGCACCTTTTTCACCTGTGAGGAATAGAAATTATATAGAACACAAAAGCCTTCAGAGCCTCCATAGGCAAAAGAAATGCTGGAGAAAGTTTATGTCCCTGTCATTAACAGGTTAAAGTCTTTTTCTGTGCTTCTCATTCCCCTTCAGGTAGGAAGAACTCTATGCTACTGCGAAAGTCGTCCCAGGGTGGTTCTCTCGGTGGGAGTATGGGTCGTGGCGGAGGCCGTGGTGGAGGCGGTCCTGGAGCTGGCCTTGCACCGAGTGGTCTAGGCTCCTGCGACAGCATGTTGGTGCAGCAGATTGTCAAGCATGACAGCATGCCAGCCATGCAGGACACCATCGCAGCCGCTGCTGCAGGAAGGAGCGGAATAATCGGAGGAAGTGGCACGGTGTCCCCTCATCCCCGCCCTGTCATCTGGGCACCACTTGTCCATGCTCCCCTGCAGACGGCTGCTGCGACCAGTAATGTAGCCATTGCTCTTATGCACCAGCAGCAGCAGCAACAGCAGCAGCTCCAGCAGCTGCAGCAGCACGCTCTTGGAGCCGGTTTCTTCTTGCCATCTCCTATGATTTCTCCTTCACCATCATCCACTTTCCCTCTTTCTCCTCCCCGCGCTCCTGTGCTGCAGCCCCTTCGCCCTTCAGTGAGCTCTCTTATTGGGATGATGACAATGGGAGGAATGAGTGGTTTGTCCCCAAGAGGATTTCCACTGTCACCGTCAACTATGGGTCCTCCAGGTGGGGTAACATCACCTCCAGTTGCTAAAACACCACCCACTTCAGCTTCTTCTGGACCAACTTCTGTCCAGCAAGGACGGACTGTTATCTATGGTCCCCGTTTTCAGGCTGACCACCCCTCAATGACAGCTGGGGGACTTGTAACACCACCAGCAGGAGGGCCAGGCTCACCACTACACAAGGTACCACCCACCAACCCACCCGCATCTTCCAGTGGCCCGTCAGATGGAATCAGCTGTCAGCAGGGTGCCAAAGAGGCTCTTCTACGTCATGGGGTGAACAGTTGTCAGGGTCTGCCAGCACTGGGGAGGCTAACCCAAGAGGCCAGGCTCCTGTCAGCTTCGCAGCCCACTCTTCCTCACCGTTCCTGGGCGGCTGTGCAGCCTCATCCTCCTCTCCATCGGAAGGCCTCTGGTGGGAATTTGTTGGCGGCTCCTTTCCTGGCAGGACAGTTGGCAAGAGGTGGCAGTGCAGGCATGTTGACCAATAACCCTACGCTACAGCTGGTGACAAACATACCATTGAATGCACAAGTACAGGCCACAGGTCCTATTCAGCCGGCTATGCCACAGGCGATCCCTGCAACCTCTGTGCCCACAGCTGCACACATCCCCTCTACACCTTTCTTGCCATCTTCTTCCCCTCCAAAGCAGACCTCCCTCTCTTCTGTCACCCAGTCACCTACTCCTTCTTCTTCGACACCTATTCTTACCCAAACACCTCGACCAAAGCCGATTCCTTCAACATTGTCCTGCTGCTCCTCCCCACCCTCAGCAAGTCCGTTGTCCACACCCCGTCCCAAACCGGTTCCTACATCTTCTCCCCGCTCTTCCTCTCCCTCTCCATCCTCCACACCTCCTCCCTCAGCTGTTTCTACCCCAGTTCCTCTGGCTCAACCTTATGGACCCAGATCATCACTGACATCTTCATCTCCCCCATCCTCTGTGCTCTCCTCATCTCCGCCGCATCCCCAGAGCCCCAGAGCCAAAGCATCCAACACACCTCCTTCTGCCTCTCCACTGTCTGGCCACAGCCCTACCCTGACCCCAACTGTGTCCCCAATACCCACTCCAACTCAGACAACCCGCACCCGACCTTCCACTCCTACTCAGACACTTACTCCTACGTCGTCCCCATCTCCATCTGGGCCCTCCATTAGTAAATCTCAGAGCCCCACACCTTGCCTCCAGCCCTCCGTCTCTGGCTCACCCAGGGTTTCTGCCTCAAGCAAGACCCCTAAGCAGACTTCTCCTTTCAACCCTCTTCAGTCGTCAGCCCCAGCCTCAACACCTCTTAGCACAAACTCTCCAACAAAAGTCACTTTCTCAGTTCATCCTGTGAAGCAAACCTCTCCTGTCCTTTCTCATAGTCCTACTTCAGGCTCCAGCCTTTCTTCCAAACAAAGCCCTTCAACGACATCATCCTCAGCAACTTCGTGTCCCAGCCAAAGCTCCTCAAACCCTTCCTCCATTTCTACCAGTTCCTCCACCACCACAGCCTCTCATCAACAAGCTTCCACTGCTGCAGCCAACCAGACAGCACACACACCCACCTCTGCCAACTCCACCTCGCCAAAAGGGGGGAAGAAAGACCCTCAGCTGGCAGTCACCAGAACAGACTCGGAGGGACTAAGGCACAAACTGCCTGCTAACATGTGAGAGGAGGAAGAATATTTCGTTGACTTTTTGTGCTTAACCAGTGCTAAATACCAGAGCCATGGATGTGCAGACTTGAGTCAAACTTGCCAACAGGTAGCCCATGATCTCACATGAACAGTTCATACATGTTGAATTTACTCTAGGATGTGGTTGACTTAGAATATCAGGTCGTCATGGGACTTTCAGCAAAGCCATCGATTGGGAAGGACTTTATGGAAGTTACCAGTGGGTCTTACTCACTAAGAGGAGTGTCTACTGAACATCCAAATGTATACATTCGTGTCTGTGTTAGTGATTGTTGGAGCAAGCAGGTAACCTGAAGTGGAAATATGCTGCACTGTGTATACGGAGTAGTTAGGAGTAAGCATGGGCAGGTTACAGTGTCAGAGTACCCTGAGGGTTAATCAAGCGCGTCTTAAAAAATTATTTGAAGCCATTTTAATGAAAGACCACAAAAACAGCAGAAAATTTATTGGAACAAACACATCACAGTTTTGCCCCTGGTCTAGCTGTTGCTGCTGATCAGCTGGCTGAAAGGAAAGACAAATCATGTTGCTTAAAATGAAAGAGGAACCATCTATCAGTTTTACTGAGGTAACTGTTGAATAACAATAGTTGGCATGCTACATGCTAATCCACTGCAGGTCCTGCCTGAACAAATAGTTTGATTAATCAATCAGCTAATATCATACATGTAGTTAAGAGCAGAATTATGTATACCTCTGGCAGATTTAGATTTAAAGTAATCATTTGATTTTATCAAAAATACCAGTGGACATGTGTAGAAAGTTGGTCTGCAGTTACCAGAAATATTTGATGGCTGCAATGCCAATCCATGAATAATTTTCAAAATGCCTTTTTTTGATCAAATGAAAATAAAAACAGAAATATTGTCTTTTTCAAGAACTATGTCCTTTTAGTCTTTTGTCATGTTCCCCAACAAAAATAAACTTATTTTTTGAAGGAAAATAACCGTAAACCTAAATCGTAAAAAGGAGAGAATGAACTCGAGCTTAACTACATGTGTCTCCACAGAGAAAAATTAATAAATCAAGAACAATTAGATTTACTTAACAACTAAGAATAAATTAAACTGTTTTTATTATAAAATTTCACTTTAGCGTTTGAAAAAAAAAATACTGCCAGATAAATGTTATAAAAAGCTGTTATAAATCAATATAGTGTATTGTTTTGTTATTATTATATTTATTTTATTATATTTATTTACATGAAAGCAATTGGATCATGGGGGGCATATTAAATTTTTTAAACAGCGGTATTTTTACACAATTTTTTCATTAAAACCTTAAACCAGCCCATGCCTACTCAGTAGGGTTATTTTCAGCAATATTTATTAACGAGAAATCCTCTTTGCAGGGACTGTAAATGTGAGAAAATTATCACTTTATTGCTGTTGGGGTGAAAGGTCACTGTGATAGAGCAGCAGACACTTCCTGGTTTCCAGCTCCAACTCCCTCTTGCTTCCCATTCTTCACCAAAATGTAATATTTTCTCATCAGAATAAAAAATAATTAGATTGAAACTCACTGTAAAGTTGATGCTCATATGAATTTGAATAATTAGGAGCAGTACTCTGGTAGTTTTGTTGTCCCTGGTGTGTGTGGTGTTTAGTTTTTGAACAATATGAAATCCTAAAAACCTACATGGTCACGCTGACAGCTTCTGTAAAACTGTGCTTTTCTATGTGCGCGACGCAACGCTGCTCTGTTGTGCACCGTGGCTCACATGATTTTGTTCCACCCGGCTTCCTGTAGTGTGCGTCTGTTGTGCGCCTCCTCACCGTCGGCCCCTTTGTCTTTCATCTTCTGTCTGTCTAGCTGCCTTTCATCTGATTTTACAGCTCTGGTTTTGCTAGCAGTTCCTTTGACGCTCGCAGACTCTCTCTCCCTCTTTCTCTCGGTTTGCCCAACACTTTGCTCGCTGCTGCCGTCAGCCTCGTCTTCAGTTGGCGACCTCCTCGTGTCGCCGTGTGACACTGTTTCAGCACCGTTTCCAGTGATGTTTGATGTTTTCTGTGGGTAGCAACAAGACATTTCAATCTTTATCCTGGATACCATGTTGCCTAGACTATATATGTATATATATTTAAGGACCAAATGTTTTATTTTTATTTATCACAGCTTTAGCTTTTGAAAAGAAAAAGTAGCAAATGATGCTGTTGAATGAACATGTGGAGTGTGGCATTAAGGATGGTGGCAACATGTGTAATGATGATGAGGAGAAGTTGCTACTGGTCTACATCTGGATGTAAGAATAAAACAGATTTAGTATCAACTTGTGTTCAGCCGTATTCTCATTCCCGAGCTCAGAACCGTGTAGATTTTGAAAACAAAACATTCAGTTTTTTCACCATAAACAAATCAAAAAGGACAAAACGTAAAACAATGAACAGATATTGTAAATTGTCATGAGTTTCCACTCAAAAACATTAAGCTTGTTATGCTAAACCCACTTTTATTATTATCATTATTATTAAATTGGCTTTACACTTCAATGACACCTCTATTCCAGATGCAACATTAACCTCCAGATGGCTCTTTTTTTTTCTTGATTTTAAATCTTAATAAAACTATTTCTCTGATTGATCAACACTGTTTAAATTTACAAACTGCAGTCCGAGTTGCTCTATTCCACAAATTTTTAACATTTTTAAAAATGCAAATCCCTTAAAATATGCAACATACCTAATAAACTGGAAGAGTGCGTTCTTCACTAAAGCGTGAAAGCAAATAAAACGTTACCATAAGAAAAAGGTGAAAACAAGGTATCAACTGTAACACTGTTTTTCCTGCAAATTTACAAGCCATCACTTCCACTGTAGTGTCTGCTACAGGAAGTTAGAGGAGAAACTCAAAACTCCAGAAAGCTCTAAAAGGAAATTAATAGTTGGCAGTACCATCATTACCCCATTCAACTTATACTGACTGTTTTCTGTGTTAGTATTAGAATATATTTGCCCTCATGCTGTCCCTATAACCCTAAATAATCTTGACAGGATTCAGGTGACATTTCCAGGTGTTAAATTGGGTTTTGCTTTGTATATGTGTGAAATGGAAAGGCCTGGCAGTGTTTGATGATAATCCTGGAAATCAGCATCCATACATACGCAGCTGTATTGACACATGATCAATACAGTGAGTAGTTTTCAGTATGGGTGTTGCTGAGGATGTGGCTTTAATTTTAACATTATTTGTCAGCATCGGAAAGGTTTACTTCAACCGTGACTCATATGCAGCTAAAAAAGTCATTTGATATTACTCACCCCTAAAATAAAAGCCTGGTTATCACATTCATCTCTCAGACATATTAACAATCCTCAGAGTTTTCAGTAAAACACAAAATAGAGTTATATTTCTAAGGTAGCAAGATAAGGATTTAAAAAAAATACTGGTGATTTGTGCAATTCTAAGGACGCTGTGAAAAACATGCTGCTTTATATCTGCACAGCTCAGGGATATCTGATCTGAAACCAAACCTTTTTAGATTCTCCACATTTCAGATTCTGTTCAGTTAGTTTCTAAATATTTCATTGAATCTCCTGTATGCTGCAACAGAGAAAAATATGAAACACAACCTGCCCTCTGCCATAAAACCTCCATTTAAATGCATCAAAATAACACAAAAATTGGTTAAAATGTAGAGACAGAATTCAGGGATTTCATTTAAACTCAAGTACACATTTGAACAAAAACTACCCGTCATCACGACCTTTGATTTCCCTAAAATTACCCAATGATTACACGTTTTCACTTCATTTTCTTTGAGTCGACAGGGTGGATTCACATGAAGTACCACTTCAAACTTGAATGTGACCCTGGTGACTCAGTCACTGACGTGATCTTTAAGAAACTGAGGCTCTGTGACTCACCAGTGTGCAATAAAACAGTTTCCAGTGTGTATCAACGAAAACCATCCGCAGATTGTCATGATGCTCTTTCTCCTGGACTCACAAGCTTCTCCTCCCAGCAAAGACCAGACTCATTCAGATTCAAGGTTAAATGTGGGAACCTTGAAGTCGCTGCTGAATGAAACTTCTCCTTCCTTTGCAATGCCACTGTTTCACATTTGTTCACTCTCTACTCTCGTTCGTAGTCAGGGAGTCTGCAGCAGCTTCTTGTCATGCTTGAAACTACCGATTACAGATTCAGAGGCAAGTACAATAAAGTAGCTGTAGAATAAATAGTTGTATGAATACCACTGCAGTTTAATTACAGACCCAGGCGAATCTGTGATGCTGAATTTTCCTTCAGAAACCCTCATCTCATCTCGTTTTGAATGCCTTTGATATATGAAAAACCAATAAAAATGCAGATTATGCAGCCAGATTTGTTAATATGAAGTGTAATAACTTCTTTAATTTCAGATATATAATAAAAATTATACTTGATGAAAAATTAAAGCAGGGCAAATAGAAAGTACAGCATTGTGAGACAGTAGAACTGAATTTCATAAAGTAAGAGGTTTATTCTGTATCTTCTAAAGTTACAGGCAAAAATTAATGTTATATTTTTATTTTCTTCTCGGATCTGGAAAATATTGACATGAAATTTCTTCCCACTTTTCCAGGCACCGTAAAATCGCGTGAAGCACAGAAATCACTTGTTCTTTCAAAAGGTACAGCCTACAAAATGTTACGTTAAGGCCACAATCATTTTTGTCTGTACATTGTTTAAATAATTCACCTGAATTAAATAAAAACAAATAGTAAATTATGTTAAATTTGGAACAGTCAGGGATGCTGTTGAACTTTTGCAAATTGAGTGTAGATGTTAATATTTATGTTTTCTGTTGTTTGGTTTTGTTTGGTTCTTTTTACCTTCAGGAAAATCCGACTTGTACATTTCACGGTGACCACTAGATGGCGGAAGTGCTTTAAAAACCATTTACACACAACATAAAGGAGAAAGATGCGTTAAAAGCGCCGTCTTCTCGCTTTAAACAAACTTTATCGTAAGAGGAGAGAAAACAAAGACTTTTAGAGAAATTCTGCTTTGTGAACTGAATATTAGAGGCCACCGTAAGCGCACTGCAGAGGCTAATGATGCCAGAAGTAGCCTGGATCTGCAGCCATGAATAGCAGTGGTGCGCAGAAAAACAGGCCTTGTAATTGCTGCCTGTCATTTTGGCTCTGAAATAGACTCAAAGGGAAGTCTTTATCCTCTGGAAACAAACTGGACCACCAGGCAGAAGACAAATAATGACTGTTTCATACTTTGCTACACCACAGTGTTGTAATGTAGACATTTATAGAGACAGAGAGTAAAAGCAGCAGTCAATCCACAAACAGACGACGGGATCCTTCCTGCTCTGCTTTAAAACAGGTTGCATTTGCTGCTGCAAGTTCAACCACAGACCGAGGGTAACTCCTCCAGACTGAGTCGTCTGAGAGGCTTTATAGGAGGTAACACAAATTTCACAATAGATCAGGTGTCACAACACAGAATAAGGGTTAACAGCTAAACATTTGATTAAGGAGCATAGTCATATGTTTTGGATTGCAAATTGCTTCTATTTCTAAATAAAAATTATATTAATAAAGAAACAAAAGCTTAGATAAAGAATCTTGAGGTTAATTGTTCCACAAGTTTGTCAAATTGAGGACAATAAACCTTTCTTTTTCAGCTGCGGGTTTGTAAATTGGTGCATTGCTCTCAATAAAATCAGGTTTCGGAACCAGGTAAATAACGTCTTTAGCTCAGGGTTAAAACTACAAAATAACGATATATCTTTATGGATTTCCAACAGCTTTACAGGACCTGTTCGATTTGTGATTTGTGCAGATTTTAAAGACAAGCTTGTCACTTTTATTGGCCTTTGCATTAGAGGTAATATAGAGATAGTCAAATTTTTAAATGTTGTACAGAAAACCAGCATAGATAGACACTGAGATCACTGCTTTAATAAATTGTTAAAAAGTACTAGTTTATTACTGTGGAGATTATATATGTCATTTACATGTAAAGTCTATGATATTATAATAGAAATCAAGCTTTTTGGAATAATTCAGGATGTGAATTGTGGTAAAACAAAGTAAAAAAACACATTAATGTGTTTTTTATTATTTTAAATCACTGTGATTAGTGAGCTACAGTCCTAAGTGTTAGGATTTTTCTGTGTTATCATTCTTACATTCAACATTAGTATTATTTTAGATCATTAACCTAGATTATTAACCCAGCATTATATTCATTATATTGTGATCATCAATATAAAGTATTCTCTTCCTCTGCTGAAATGTATATAAACTTACTTTGAGGCCTTTTCTTCCTGTGTTTCCATATGAAACAGTTGACGATGTTTCTCAGACCTTATCAACCAGAATACTCCCTACTTTGGAGGCCGCCTGTGACTGCCTCTACTGTGTCTCTACTGCCTTCCTTTATATTTTAATAAAAGAGAAAGCCCTAACAAAGGGTCTTCAGAGCGCTCAGTGAACGGCTTGAAGCAGCAGTTTGCTGGGTTCTCTCCTTTTGCAAAAGCGTTCATAAAATTCACTTACATTGTCTGTTTGTAGATTCATAAATACCTATCACTAAGAGTCCTGACCCCTGCTGCACACCTCACTGGAAAAACATCAATGACGCATATTGTTCACATGTGCTTTTTGTTCTGGTAGCACAACCGCAAGCACAGATTTAGGGTTTGGGGGGGTGGTAATACAGGTGGGGTGTCTGTGTTCACCGCAAAATTATATTTAGACTTCCTGCACCCTCGATACAAAACCCACCAGCTCACATACTCACACACACACACTGCAGGAGCTAGCTACATGACAGCAGAAGAGAATGAGATTCAGGCTTTGAGAAAGCAAGGTGATTCCCATCCCCATAACCACTTCAAAAACGAGCAAGTCTTCAAAGTTTTTCAGCAGGGGAACGAGGCTGGTCTTCAGTTACATTTAAAGACCAAACAGACGCGTCTGGGGTGGGAGTGTGGGAAGACGACGCTACCGACAGTTTGGTACTTAGGATACAAAATTTTAAAAGATAGATTTTAAAATGTCTAAAAATCAGGGCAAAACCTTTGCGGTTTATCCCTGTAGTGTCGCAAAGGGGTTTGAGTCTGTCTCCATGATGATTTGTGGATGGACTGCTAGTCCACATACACAATTGATCTCTGTAAATTGTAAGGCCAATTTACAGAGATCAATTAAGAGAGAAGTCATGCATGCAAATGGAGCAGATGTGAAACTGGCTACATTTACGTTAGCATTTCTGAAAAAAGTGCTTCTGGAAGTAGTTTTATTGCGTCATATTTTGCTTGTACTATAGAAA